TTCTGATCAGATAAGCTATCGAAAAACAGATGCATGTTGTCAGTATAGGTAGTATAAATTAATTCATTTAAATCATCATCAACTGTACAATCTCATACTTATACTATCTTTAATCCCTCTCATTTCGGTGTATCCAGACCATTATAAAAATATAATAATTATATTACCAATAATAAATATTATATTATATTTAATTAATCCTTATTGATATATATACTTATTTTTATAATTAACAATCTACTTATTTTTATTTAAAATTAATATCATGATACAATTTACATTATTTATTATAAATTTAAAAGTTTAAATAATAATTTATATATTTTAAAATGAGAAGGGTTATAATAACACCGGTGTAACTTTTACTAAGTATTACACTGCTCAATAATTTTATATTAAATGTGAATTTTGTAAATCCAACCGATAGATTGAAAGTTCATGTCACTTTATATGTTTATATCAAATTTTGTTAAAATTGAACAACAACTTGAAGGTAATCAAAATGTTCATATTTTAGTATATTTTAAGCAGTGCAATACTTAGTAAAAGTTACACCAGTGTTATTATAATCCTTCTATTTTAAAATATATAAATTATTATTTAAACTTTTAAATTTATAATAAATTATTTAAATTGTATCATAATATTAATTTTAAATACAAATAAGTAGATTATTAATCATAAAGTAAATATATATATATATATATATAAATAAAGATTAATTAAATATAATATAATTATTATCATTGGTAATATAATTATTATATATATTATTATATTTTTATAATGGTCCGGATACATCAAAATGAGAGAGATCCAAAGATAGTATAGGTATGAGATTGTATAGTTGAGGATAAATTAAATGAATTAATTTGTACTACCTATACTGACAACATGCATCTGCCTTTTTGTAGCTTATCTTATCAGAACTTCACAGTTAAACATGCTTGACTTGGAGTAATACAGGGATGGGTGACCTGCAGTAAGGGCAAAACACGCTGAAAAGTGAAGTGTCGTGAAATAGAATGCTTGAGAGGCTAAATATGAAGGTTGTTACATTAATAAATTTAATAAAATTAAACAAAAACTTTTCTGACAGATCTTTCTGTCGGTAATTTCTGACAGATATATCAGTAGGAACTTTTTTACGGATTAAATTTTTTTCGACGGATTTTTTTTTTCGATGCCCATTTTTTTTGCGAGGGATTTTCCTTATTTCCGACGAATTATGCCCGTTAGAAATTTGTATTTCTCTTGTAGTACGTAGATAACGTTATCTACGAATAAACTTTTCGTAGATAATAACTCTCGTGGGTTATCTACGAAAAATTCATAGATAACCTTGGTAGGATGTAGGAAAAATAATTTATGCTCTAAGTGATGTAAAGAATATTTAGTAAAAAATAAATAATATTAAAAATTGTCATTTTAAATTTTTTATATTTATAAATTAATGATGATAAAAAATAACATACTAATATCTGGTTTTAAATTTGATATGAAAATATTATGATATAATTAGATAAGATTTTAAAATAATATTTTATTAATGATTGATAATTAGAAAATAAAACAAGAATAAATACATTTTTTGAATTTTATATCTTAGATTTAAGATGAATAAATATATTAAGTTAATTAATAATTTATTTAAAATGTTAAAATTTAATTTATAAAAAGTATTACATCGTTCAATAACTTTATATTAAATGTGAATTTTATAAATTTAACCGTTAGATTGAAAGTTTTTCAGTCTTAGCTCATATATACAAAACTTTATATTAATTCAAGATTATTTGATACTTCATTCTTGTAAAACAAAATTGACGTAATATATACATTTCAAAATATACTAAAATATGAACACTTTGATTACCGTAAATTTGTTGTTCAATTTTAACAAAATTTGAGAAAACATATAAAATGATATGAACTTTCAATCTAACGGTTAAATTTATAAAATTCACATTTAATATAAAGTTATTGAGTAGTGTAATACTTAGTAAAAGTTAAACCAGTGTTATTATAGCCCTTATAGCAGTCTGGACATACCAAAATGAGAGGGATCCAAAAATAGTATAAGTATGAGATTGTATAGTTGAAGATGACTTAAATGAATTAATTTGTACTACTTATACTGATAACATGCATTTGTTTTTTGATAGCTTATCTCATCAGAACTCCACAGTTAAGCATGCTTGACTTGGAGTAATATAAGAATGGGTGACCTTCTTGGAAGTTTCCCAGAAAATGTACAGTAAGGACAAAACACGCTGAAAAGTGACGTGTCATGAAATAACATCCTTGAGAGGTCAAATATGAGGGTTATTACATTAATAAATTTAATAAAATTAATCAAAAAAATTTCGAAGGTTATCTGCGAAAAAAATTCGTAAAAAACAACTTTCATGGGCTATTTACGGAAAATTTTCCATAGGTAACGTTATCTATGGAAAATTTTTCGTAGGTAACGTTATCTACGATCTTATTACCTATGGATTTTTTTCCGTAGATAATTGACACTTACCCACGGATTTTCATGCTTATCTATGGATTTTTTTCGTAGATAATCCTAATTTTTCTTGTAGTGAAAGACAACATTTCTTATGTTCTTTTCCTTCTCAAACTCAACATCCTCAAGAAATCTCGCATTTCCCGTCTCAAAGAATAATCTAGCAGTGAGATTGTAAAATTTATAGTCTCGAGAACGTTCAAGATAACCAACAAAATAAAAATTAACTGTCCTTGATTCTAGCTTTCTTTCATGCGACCTATATGGATGTACTTCAGCTGGACATGCAATCCCAAATGTATAAATGCTTTAGACTTGACCTTTTACCAGTCCATAACTCATAGGGAGCTTTGTTAACTGTTTTACTTGGTACCCTATTTAAGATATAAATTGCAATCTTAAGCGCTTCTCCCCATAATGACTCTAGTAAGGAAGAAGCAAAATAGTCTTTTGGTGTAATGATCTTCCTCAGCCAAATCATTGGATTTCTTAATGGGACTTGATGTTCTTCTTCTGATGGGGAGGCAGACAGACGTGTGCTTCTGATTTAGTATAATCTTTACAATTTTAAACCTGTTAAGATTCTCATTAACCCCTAACGGAACAAATTTTGATTTTCACTTATTTGGGTCCATATTAGTTTTTTCTATTAGCAATCTAAAGACTTACTAAAATTAGATCACTTTTATTGAGTCCAACTAAATGTAAATAGATAATATAAATACTACAAATAATATATGTAATCCATATTAATTATTAGAAATAAAATTTCTAACACTAAGAAAGTCCAAAGGTTGAAAAAATATATTAAATCTAAATTGAATGAAAAGTCAAACACTTATTAAATTTACTAACTAGTATTTTGTTGTATTCAATAAATATAGTATTTAATGACATTATTTTGATTAATTATATTTTATATTTAATAAATATCATAATTAATACAATGATAAAAAAAAAAGACGTTACGTTAGTTTTGTAATATAGTAGTAATTATTATTATTTAATTATATCTCTTATTATATTTTTTAGGGAGTGGTTATTGTGTTGCATATCATTTCTAATAAAAAATTAATCATATAATTATTTTTTTGAAATTAATTCTTTTTCATTTATTTATTAGTTATTTTATTTGTATAAAATAACTTAAGACGACATTTTTTTTGAGATGGAGAAAATATAACTTTTATGAATACAAAATTAATAATATTAAATGCTATATTTAAGATTTATTCTTAAGTTTAGTTTAATACTCCCTTAAGATAATAAATAAAAAAATATTTTATACAAATTTTTTGAGGGATTTTAATTTCTGATGAATAGTTGATAGATACTCCTTTAAATATCATCATGATAATAATACAAATTTCTATTAATTCAATTTTATTTAATGTTTTTTTATTTTGAAAGTACCCTTAAGACAATAAATTGGAAAACTATATCTATATATAGTAAATGTGATTAAATATATTTTAGGAATTATAGAGTATATTTTATATGAAATTGTGAAAAATAAGACACTTAAAGAAACTTTTCCATAAGCTTTTCTGCAAGAAAATAGGGAAGAAATATGAAAAAAAATTTCGTAAGTCAAAATTAGCTTATGCATAATTTTTAAAAAAAATATTTTTGGAGAAGTTAACATGAGAGAATTTTTATAAATTAATTTATGAATAAACTAATTTTAGATTATGAAAAAAAAGTTCTTTTCTTTTTTTCTTTTGATTCCCTAAAATACACATAACAAAAACACATTCTTTTGGAGAAATTATTAGATAGTAAATTAAGGATCACAAATGCCCATAAGACATGTGGTTGAATAAGTTTCTCTATAAAACCTTTTGGGAGAGAGAAATATGAAAGAAAATTGAAATATATACTTCTCTATAAGCTAAAACTAATTTATATATGAATTTTAAAAAAAAGATTTTAAAAAAGTTGAAAACTTCTATAAATTAAGTTATATATAAATTAATTTCAACTTAAAATAAAATTTATTTTAAATATTTCCTATTTTTCTCTTCTATAAGTGTTTTAAGATAAATTTATTCAAATAGATCCATAATCTCAAACAATATCACTATATATATAATATTTATTTTATTTTAATAAATATCGTATTATAAGAAAAATTTATCACAAACTAAGTGTCATATTAATTTATATATATAGTATTAATTAATTATCTCTTTTTATTTATATCTTAATAATTTTTTTTTAAAAATGATTAATATATGTTACATCCTTTTTTTAAAAAAAATTTAATTTAATAAATTATAATTCTCTTTCATCTATTTATTAATTTTTTTAAAAAAAATTATTTAAAATATCTTGAAACTACACTTATAATGAAACAAAAAAGTATGTATTTGAATTTTTCAACCCACCAGAAAAAAAAATGCTTAATTATATATCAGTTAGAAATAAATTAAGGATCTTCCACACATCCATCTAATTAATACTTACTCCTCCATCCTTTTGCTATAAATTCTCCAGCATGTTTGAGCTATCCAGCACAAGCAAGAGCCCTAGCTGACCCTTGAAGAGAAACTAAGTGATCAGTTGGATCTGTCTGGAAAATGGGTTCTAAGAGTGTTGCCCTAGTTCTGTCCTTGAACCTCCTTTTGCTTTCCATGGTTAGCGCCAATGAACCTGTCCCTGTGCCTGCAGTCTCCAACAAGAAACAGTGTCCCCTGTTGAGTATTTGTTTGTTGCCCCCTTTACTAGGAGGCAAACGCTGCTGCCCCCTCATCCAGGGTCTTATTGACCTTGACGCCGCCGTGTGCCTTTGCGCCGCCGTCGACTCCGGCATCGGCCGAGCAATCGGCCTTAATCTAGACATTCTCGTCAACCTAATATTGAACACCTGTGGACGCAAACTGAAAAACTACAAATGCAGTTAATAATATCACATCCATCATCTTATTCTCTTCTGTTACTTTGTATTGTATGCTCCTGTTTAATGCTAGTTGAAATTGAATAATACTATGCAAATACAATACTGGTCGCTGTTCTCGTGAATCGGTGCCTTATAATTATATTGTTCCTCGATCGCTATCTTTTTTTATTTATTATTATTTGTTAATTATCGGAAGTTCTTTAATAAAAGCGCTTAATTTGTTTAAGGGTGGAGGTCTCCCACCATGGAAAAGCCCCTTTCCACCATTAGATAAAATTCATGGTTCAGACGGGTGTCATATTTTTTCCCGCCCAAGGATTGCTGGGATCGGGGTAAAACGAAAAAAATAAATAAATTTGTTGATAGAATAGTAATATCTTTTTTTCATAATTAAAATGTTATATATATATAATAATAATAATAATAATAATAATAATTTCGTTGCCCAGAAGGGGTCGTTCTCACGTTGGAACGGGCCGTTCTGGACTATTAAAAACTGCCTTTAACTCTAAGTGGAAATGGGCTTGGAACGGGCCGTTCTGGTTTGAGAACGGGCCGTTCTGGATGTGATTTTTACCCATGATTCAAGGGTCCCAAAAAGCACACCTCTCATTTTCTAATTTCTTTTCTTCTACTCTCTCTTCTTTTCCCTGTACTTTATGCTTCAGACCGAGGGGAACTCAGCGAGGGAGACCAATCAAATCTCGTATAAATTCAGCTTCTACATATCCAGGTACGGGGGAAAATGGAATTATTTATATGTATAGTTACATGAGGGAATTGGGTAGAGGAAGAATCCCTTAGGATTATGAGCAATTTTATAATTATTTCTGTTTGGAGAATTATTGGTCTTATTTGATTCTGTATGAATTTAGGATTATGAATATATGATTTATTTGTAAAAATGATGCTCTCGGAGAGAAAAACGAAATTATAGAAAAGTGCCTGTAGACTAGGTTTTGGAAAAATTGGAATATTTCTGTTTTGAGAAATTGATGATCCCATTAGATTCTGTATGTGTTGAGGATTAGAAATACATATTTAATTTGTAAGAATGATGATCTGAGAGGGAGAACGAAACTGTAGAAAAGTGCCTGTAAGTTAAGTTTTGGAATAATGGGGGGTTTTACTGTTTATGTTAAAATTATATTAAATTGATAATTCTATTGATTATTATATTAATTTATGAATGTTATTACTATATTACTTGATAAAATTGATGACTTAGATATGAATTGCTTGAGATGTATGAAACCCATTATTTTGGACTTATCTGATGCGTGTATGGAATTGAACTATGAGATGTTGTGTGGAATGTGAATGAGATGTGATTGTGGTTCTTCACACCTATGACCAGGGGTGAGCAC